ACCGTCACTCTTACCAAGTGAGTTCATACCCCCTAAGCTTCTCTTTTAAATGCTTTTAGGGGGGGGGGGGGATACAAGTAGAAAACATTATAGTTATTGTATCAATCACATGTGATTAATAACTATCAAACAAGTGGATTTCTTATACTTCAAAATTGTGTTATCAAACCAACTATTTCAAAACGTTTTATAAATTGACATCAAGGCATCTGTAACCATTCAATTGGTTAAAATTCCTTTATATGTTAAAAACCCTTTTATATGCTAAATTCTTTATCAAACTCTTTTTAAAACTTATATATTGTCAAAATCATATCTATATAGATATAGTTATATAAATAAGGTTGAAAGGGCTTAGGACTGATAACTCGCTTTACTGTTCCTTGTTTGGTTGTGGACTTAGGGTATCAGTTGTTTGTCTAAGTGTCGTTTGGATCTTAGTTATATATTATGTATGTGTGTATAGATATAAAAGTTCTTACATCAGTTCAACACCTTTGGGTAGCAAAGGTGTACAAACATACTCAGTCATTCAAACAACACTACTAGTAAACTATAATAGGTATATTTTAGAAGACTACTACTCACTATTTCTAGTACAATGAAACATACTAGAGTCAGTTCATGCATAAGTCAATTCAAACATACTATAACGAGAAACATAAAGAAAACACTATAATGAGAAACAGGTAGGAACATACTGTACAAAGAGAACATACAATACACTAGAACAAAGAGAACATATTATACAAATACAAGAACACTATAACATTAACGCGAGCCACTACTTCATGGCATGGAAATATACAACTGTGTCACGTTTAGTAACCAGAGTCTCCTAGAGGGAGAGCATGAATTTATGTATAGATCTATACGGGATTGACCATCCTACACCTTGCTGCTAGCTACAGTGGGACCTGCAGGTCTACGGGTGACGAATGTCATACCATTTCGACGTCTTTGATCGTTGTGTTTTACTAGTCAATCAAGTATGGTTATAATCATATAAAATTTTACCTTAATTAAACAATTGGTTAAAGGTAGTTAGTACAACGGTAGTTACTATATACAATACTACAATACATCTTTATTTTCCCATTGCATTCACATTGTGATCTTATCACATAAATGGAAATGTAAGCTATATTTTGGTGATGATAGTCATACTTGGGAAAAACACTCACTTTTACAAACAAACAACATGCAAAACATTCAGGTCTTGGTAGAAGGCTACATTTCAAGTAGAAAATATAGGATTTTTTAGGAGATACAAACATTTACAAAAACTTTCATCAAACTTATACAAACATTTAACACTAAAATACTTATGAACTCACCAGCTTAAATGTTGATCTTCTCTTTCAAAATAACTTGTATTGTCAGGTCACCAGTAGACAGGTACAAATGGCCAGGTTTTGAGAAGACGGAGCACTTTCAAACTCATCTCTCTCTCTCTCTCTCTCTCTATATATATATATATATATATATATATATATATATATATATATATATATATATATATATTTGGTGTCTTGCAAATACATTCAGAACACACATGTATAAATTATACTATTAATGCAATAGATAATGTTGTTGCTTGTTTTACTATTATGCATTGTTATGATACTGTACATGACGTCCTCCACTCTCGAATGTTTCCGCCAATTCGGTTTGGGGGTGTGACATTTATGATGGGGAGAAAACATTTTTTAATTCATAATGAAAAAGAGTTTCTTGATTAGGCTAAAATGCAAGAAAGAACAAAAGGGTTTAACTTTTAACAAATAAATGAAATTATTAAATTATAAAAGTAGGTTGCTATTTCATATGTTTTTATAGAAATAACTAATATCCTCTTTGGTAAGACCTTCCCTCCTCCTCAATAATTTCATCCCAATCCAAAGACCTTAAAAACCTTGCTTCTTCTTCTACAAAGTAAAGAATAACATCATGATGCTTCCTATTATCAGTATACCCAAAAGATGTTGCATTAGCATCACCATTGACTTTGACATGAGTTGACTCGGAGCCCACCACCTGTTCACCGGATATTTCACCAGATGGTCTAGTTTCAGGGGCAACTGAAGAGTAGCTATTCATGAATTTTTTCCTCATATGTTTAAAGAAGTTATTTTGGGTTTGAACTTGTGAAGAGGGTATTTTTTTCCACAACTGGAACTAAGGGTAAGAGGGTTGTTTTGGTAATTTGGTACTACTATTGGTTGTTGGGCTTAAACTCTTTTTTGTGGTAGGTGAGAAATCGTTTCTTTCACGCCAAGGTTTTAGGAGAAAAAGTTTTCTTACGCTTGATGTTTTTAAAACATCAAGCTTCATGGATACGTGTTGAATAGAGTGTGGATAGTTGAGTATTTGTGATTGGTTGACCTTTAGTCTTGGTTTATCAGAGTTCAAGGCCTAATGAAAAGTTTTTAAAAATTTAGATCAACTATAATAAGTGATTATTTACTTTTAGTAAACTCCCAAAAATGTAACAACTTCAGTAAAAATAGATGCATTCCTTTTGTGGTAAGGGGGCCAAATCAAGTTTACATCTTTTTAAGAGTAAACATATGACTAATGCTATGGTTTTGTTGAGGCTACGATATGGAAGGGTATGTATAAATATATATTACAGGAAAGAAACCAAAATAAAGATTTTACCAAAGCATTATGGCATAGATGGAGTCATGGGTATCTGTGACATCCCCATTTTCGCGGCCAGAAAAGACTGATTTAGTTTATGCTTTTATAATAAAATCAGAGTAATCATTTGATTAAAAGTATTGCGGAATTTGTTCCCAAAATAAAAATATGATAAAGATTTATCAAAGCATTTTCGTAGAAATGTATTTCATTAAAAAGACTCGGGATGTCATGTTCGATACAGATCAAAAGCATAAACAATACATTATAAGCCTTACAACAGTTATTTACAACTACTGGCCTATAACCCAAAAATCTCTCATCATCATCCAAACTATGCTCTGGGTCCACTACCTGTAAAACAGAAAGCTGAGTGGGTCAGGCTTGGGAGCCTGGTGAGCATATAGGGTTTTCAACCCACAAATAATAATAAATTTATTAATTACATCGATTAACAATAAATTTATTAATTTCATCAAACCAACAATAACCGTGATTACTCATTCCCGTTATGCTCATTAACGTCCCTAAACACTTATATAAGGGACCTAGTCTAAGGATTTTATCATCGGGATGGACTTTACTACAAAGGGGATTCCTCAGCCATATATGTTCGTAAGGCAACCATGAGGGAGATGGAGTACACTGGTGAACACATCATTCACAAACACCTACAGGTTGCGAGCCTGCTAGCGTTCCACTAGACTGTCTAGAAGAGTCTGTGGTCGTCATCCATACTCCGCTAGATGACAGAATCAACAACAACAACATTGAGGCCTCTCATCATTTTATCACACACCAACTATTTCATCTACCCATGTTATACCTAACATATTTGTAGATAAAATATATATACAGTTTAAATCATTTTAAAACTTGTATAAAACATTCATTCAACAGCTATCTCAAATAAACAATCAATATATATACATATAACACGTATTTATATAAAATACTTCTTATCTATGTGTAAGATGAAAGTGAATATACACTCACTTGATTTGATGATAATCGGACAACAATTCGTTCCTTAAAATGATCGTATCTGATAAAACCGGGAGTTTTATTGAGAAATGGACTCTGCAAGGGTTGAACTTCAAAACCGAAAAGATAAAATTTTTCGGGTCTTCGGGCACTTTGGGATGTATTCCGGGCTTTAAAAATGATACCGAGGCTTCGAGAAAAGTCAAAATAGTCAAAATATGGAGAGAGGGGTGAAAAATGCCAACTTTGCAATTCTAGTTGGCAAATCTCGCATCCCTCTTATTTATAGGGTACGAGTCCTAGGGGTGCTTGGCTAGGGAAGATCCACGTAGTGGCTGCATGGCTCGGATCCGGAGGGAGGCGTGGCTCGCATGCGAAGCGAGCAGGTGGCAGCAGGTGCGAAGGCCACATGACAGCAGCGAGGCTCGGAGGTGCGACACGGGGTGAGGCGCGTCGGAAGAGGATAGGTCGCGAGGCTGGTCGAATCCAGAAGCAACATGCATCGGACCTTGGACTGGCCACGACTCGGTGACGCAGTAGCTTCGGACACGGGTCGGATTCGCGAGAAGGGTGACGTGGCCAGCTTCTATCCATGCGAATATTATCGAAAAATGTGCCAGAAACTTCTAAAATCCATAACTTTCTCATACGAACTCCGTTTTTGACGTTCTTTATATGAACGCGTAGGTAAAATTACGATCTGCAACTTTCGTTTAGACTTTGTTGGCTAATTTTGACTTTAATTTTAATCTTATTATTTTTAACAGACCGGGACAGGAAAATCCGTTAAAAATTCATAACTTCTTTATCCGACGTCTGTTTTCATCAGTCTTTTTACCGTTGTGCTACTATTGATGAGACCTTCGATTCTCGTTTAGGTTGTGTCGGCTAAAAATCGCTCGATCTAAAATTCGAGTTTTTAGTTGTCTACTGCTAAGCTGAAACCTAGAAAAATCATAACTTCCTCATACGAAGTCAGATTTGGACGTTCTTTTTATCGAAATTCTCATTTTAACGAATACTACGACTTTCGTTTAGATCGTTAAGGTTAAAAAGTATTTTATCGTACATTCACTTTTTACGTTTCCTGGTGTCGTGCCAGTTCCGTCGCGAAACTTCGACGGGTCATAACTTCTTCTTTATAACTCGGATTTCGGCGTTCTTTATATCCCCGGAATCCTTGTTTCGACCACTACAACTTTATGTAAAGATATCGACTTTATCTAATATTTATTTTCAACGCTTAGTTTTATTATTAATTAATTAAATCATAATAATTAAACAAATAAGCACATAATTCACATAATTTTCACATAATTCCTCTTTATTACTTCAAAATGAGTTACAAAGGTTAATCTAAACTATTACATCAACAATAATGCTTAGCCTGGAAACGCGGGCGTTACAGTATCAATTGTCGGGATTTCTTAACAACAACCTCTTCAAGCATTTGAGTTCCGGCATTCAACTATAATTCATTAAAGACCAAATGTTAAAAGAAAAATTCCCATAAATTATAGTGTAAACAGAAAGTAAAACACATTCAAATATTGTTTCTTTTTTACTTAACATAGAAAGACTTACCTAAAAAAGAAAGTCGTTAAAAGAAGCATTTCATTTTTTTCCATTAAGTCCTTACTTTTATAAAGTTTACAAGATTAATTATACATGAGGAATAGTTTGCGTACATGGAGGACCATGAGCCAAAGTTTCTGCTACATGTCATGCATGTAATTACAAAAACTGAAGATTGTTGAACAACTATGTTATTACCATTACCACCAACAATCAGAAGCACCCCAGCCAAGGTAGAGGTGCAGTCATAACCGCTTGACTATTAATTAGATGGCTATGAATGGCAGAGCTTAATCCAGGTGATGGTACCCTTCCTATATCATTATCCACTGGTTTGTTCCAAGAGAAGGAAAATTCCTTTCAGATGATGTCATTACATTGGTAAGAGAACTATTTTTGTTGGAAATGCTTAAGTTACTTGCTACTTTCTAGGCCATGACTCGCCACGTTCTCAAGATACACCTGAAAATGACTGTCTTATCCCTTTCTTTTCAAACTTACGGGGCAATATGTTACGTAAAGGTTAATAATAGTCTTTTTACCTATTGTTGTTATCCTTGTCCCAATCCATATCATGATTGAATAGCACATCCTTTCTTTGATTCTTTAATGTATAAACCTCTTATTGTTTGCTATCTCCAATGATGTCCTCATTAGAATTCTAGTCATGGAAACACGTAGAAGGCACAGACCATATATATACATAGATAAAACATATATACCTTCACCTGCAATTATGAGTAAACCAAGGGAACTGACAGATTAACAATTGCACAACTAAAAAAAAAGAACTAATAATCATCATAATCTGTTGAGTAATCTGATACCTTGTTATTATACAACAAAATATTTAACCTAAAACTTAGTCACTAACTTTAAGCCAACCTTGTTTGTATATAATCACCATAACGGTACCTAAAATGTTTGTTGAAACGAAAATAGAGCCATGATCTTTGGATCCTCATCGACAGATTCTATAATCATAGTGACCGCCATACTGGGAAAATTTTATAGCAAAAACGGTGCAAGGACAGTAAGAGAGTAAAGGAAGGAGGCGGTGGAAGTGTAGACAAAACGGTGGATAGAAAACGTGAGTTTAAATTAACAGATAGTTCAAATCGGTTACATACCTGGAGCAATAATCCCTAAATCGATGCCAACAGATCGATGGGAAGTCGAATCCGAGAAGTAGATGAAGCGGAGGAGAGGAGCCCCTGAAATTTTGAAAGCTTCCTCCCCTTTACCCTACGAGTTCATGGTACTTTCGTGGCTCGCCTTCACTCTAATCCTCGAGAGGGAATAGTGGTGGTTCAAGAAGATGAGAGTCGGTGGGGGTAAGGAACGACATTTTAATCGATGAATAGATGGATTAAAGTAACCGTGACTTCGTAGCCATTGATATGCAAAAAAGAAGATTAGACGGAAATGGGGACATTCTTGATGATACGTTTTACAAAATCGCTTGATCTCATTGGACGATAAGGACTGTGGTCAGCAAGGCGGTTAAAATCAAAAGGGAAAGTCAGTTTGAAAGATCTAGCGAGAAACTAAGGGCACAAATGCAAAATGATAAAATAATAATAATAATAATAAAATAGAAATAAAAATAAAATATCAAAAGTCTAAAAACTAAAAAAATTTGGTGATAAAAATGTGAAAGGACAAAAAAAAAGAACTGTAAGTAAGGCTCCCACAGTAGGGATGAACAGTTTGTCTAAATCCCGATCCCGTACCGGTACCGGTACCGTACCGAATTTGAAAATATGAGACGGTACTTGGTACTCCAAATACATAACATTCGGGATTCGGTACCACCGGTACCAGTACTAGTACCGAAAACCGGTACCGATACCGGTGATGTTAATTCGGTTCGATACTCGGGATTGATTTTCAATAAAATTCGATTTTCGGGAAATTGGGTACGGTACGGGTCGGTATCCGTCCGTCCCACGCTCATCCCTATCCCACAGTTACGTCTTGTTCCTCAGTTCCACTTAAGGAGAAAAATGGGAGGATACGGATAGAAAGTGAGGGGTATCGAAGGAAAATCGTATTCTCGAGTTTCATTAATGGAAGGAAAGTAGGGGAGGGGAAGGATTTTAGAATCATATTTTCCTTCCAAAATTTCCTCCCAAATTGGGCGGATTTAGGAAGGATGTGAGGGGAACGAAAATTTTAAATTTTATTTTCTTTTTCCTCTTAACTCAAAAACACAAAAACAAAAAATTTTAATTTCCTTTTCTTTCATTTTTCGAACTTGGAATATTTTCGTACACGCATTAATCCCTTTTTTTATGTCAAAATTTTCCTTTTCCTTTCTTTTAATCAATTTACATAAAAACTCGGGAACAAGCGTTAAGGTTCTGTTATTTTATAGAATTTTGTCACGGATTGAACCCTATTACAGTCCTTCTGATTCAATTACATCAAATTACCGCCATCGCTGCCGCTGCCTCGCTGATTCTCTAATAGCAATGGCGCGGATAACAGACATGATGAAATTGAAGCCATTGACGTCATCAATAGAAACCCTAGGCCACCGATTCCTACAACAATGTTCCGTCAGTGGAACGGCTAAAGGAAAAGGGAAGGTGAAGGCTGGGGTAACCCTAAAGAGATCGAAAATCACTATAAAGAAAGGTCAACAAGCACCAGATCCGTCGGCGACGAAAGGTCCAAGGAAAGGCCAACTTGAACAAATGATTGACGATTGCTTGCAGGCAAAAGCGCCGGTGAGGTTTCTGAAGCCTAAGGAACGAGAGAGAGAAGCTGAGAGGGAGAAAATGGGATTGATTTCTGAAGATAGGAAACAAGAGATTGCGAGCTTTAAGAAAAACAAGAGTAAGGTAAAAGATGATGACCAGAAATCGAAATCGGGGTTTATCGGACCGGAAGGTTTGGATCTTGTAACGTTAGGGCTTGTTGACGCTGATAAGATTCCTAAATACGAGTTGACGGTTGAGGATGGGAGGAAGTTAGCCAAGGAGTATAGTAGGGTTTTGATGAGGAAGCATCGAGCGAGGCAGGCTGCGGAGACAGGGCTGTTGAAGTGTAAGAAGGAGGCTATAGAGGCGTTGCCGGAAGGTTTGAGGGAGGCGGCACTGGTGCCGGATATGGCTCCTTTCCCGGTGAATAGGTTCATGGCAACTTTGACACCACCCATCGAAGGGTATATTGAGAAGATCAATGAGGCGGCGAAGAGGCAGAGTTCAGTTAAGGGGAAGCTCAGATGAGGGGAAAGGTTAGTACTAATATTGGCTTGATTTGTTGTTACATACATGCTTTGTCACTTGACTTGATTATCGAGTGTTGAGAAGTTGATTTTTATATCATATGTCTTGTGTCAATGGAAATGCATATGAAGTACATGAGTTGCTTATTAGGTTCAATATCTTTGGAAGTTTTACATGATGAACCAAGTTAAAAGTGATGTGATTGTTTACAGTCATATGATTTTGGCAAAGAATCCAACATTCATGTGAAGTAGATATGATGATTTTGACAGCTCTGAGCATTTCTTTCTGCTGTATTTGAACTCATTGAGTCATTGTTATGTTATGCTTATATGGTGTATATATAGATTACGATAGGGCAAAATCCTGACAAGAATATCAAATGTATATATATACCACATCGCATTAGAATTAAATTGCTTGTGAGCTAAGACATAACATATGTAAGAGTAACTTGAGTCATATTGATTGATTATACGAGTGCCCCATTTTGTTTTGTTTGTTGACAAGAATAATAAAAGGTTATTTGAGATAATTTTGCTACATTTTGGATATGAGTAGTTTGATAGGCAACCCATCCAAAAGGGAATCATAATAATTTAATGGCTGCTGATTGGACTGATTCAGGTTGTGACTTGTGACTTGTGTATGTTTCCTTAAATTGATGCAGGTGCCAGGTGGTGGTATATCTGTATGCTGTTTCTTGGTTTTCTGCAGTTTTGCCCATTCATCAATTGGTTTCCTTTTGTTTTGTTTTGTTTTGTTTTGTTATATCCTTTGGTTAGACTAGAAATAGAACCAGATGATGCTGAAAGAAACCACCATTCCTTTCAATAAATGGTTCACTAATTGCTCTTGCTCATGTATGGATCATGGATTACATGAGCAAATGGGCTAAAGCTTTGTTATTTTATATATATATATATATATATATATATATATATATATATATATATATATATATATATATATATATATATGATGTTGTTGATGAGAGAGATGAGATGTCACATATTCCTAAAATCGAACCTACTCTACTAATAAATAGATTCACACCAAACATCACAATCACGTTTTGACCTAATAGACATCTACATCTTGTATTTGGAAGTAAAGTACTAAAAGTCATCTTTCCTAAAATTGTAATTAAATATATCAACAATATCTAAAAGGAAGTGATATTTTCACTTAATAAATTGATTCATTCACTTGAAATGTATGCGTTACTAATTTGTATGATAGTTGCAAAGATGATGTATCTCATGTGGATAAATCAATGTGTAAATATCAACTCCCACTGAGAAAAATGAACCATATATGAATATGAGATTCCCTTTCATCCATCTCAATCGCACCCTTGGAATGGGAACCAAGAAAAAAAAAAGCATTTCAAAAGCTTCTCATGTCTGCAGATGAGGTTTTTCCCATCAATATTTAGATTATATTGTGTGTAGCATAATAGTAGAGACTAGACTAGAGATAAATAAATAGATTATATTATGGTCTACTCACTCGTCTGTCTACAGACTTCCAATGCTTGTGGCTGGAAAACAATGTGTACAATCCATCTAGTCTTTATTTTTAATAATAAATATTCACTTAATTTTACGTTATATACAGATACAGATTGAATGAAGACAAGACCATCTCTCTCTGTGACTGACCCGGTATATAATTTTAATAGGGTCAAAGTAGGAAATTAATCATATTGACGAGCAACACTAAACCCAATTTGAGGTTTATATTGGTTTATAAGTGTTTAATGTGCATTTATATCGACAAGACTAGGAAAAAACAATAGACAATGTGAAAAGTAGTAATAATAAATATATATATAATAAAGTCTTAAGTTTCTCAAAAGAAAGATATTTTTATTTTTTTCACACTCAAGACTCAAGACTCAAGACTGAAGAGAGTTCAATTTAAATCCCCACACATGACAAAATGCAGATGTTGAAGAATTCAATTAAAAATGGAGCTGACCCAAGGGGACAAAAACATAGAAAACAAGCTATTCTCATGTGATTGAAGACTCTCTCTGCT